TCGTGTTTGTAATCAACGGGCGTAGAGAGTGACATTTTGGATTTTATTTCCAGTTACTTACATGTTTACTTCCCTTATATCATACCGTCGTTCTTTTCTATGAAAATGGAAATGTTCTCAGTAAACGTCGTACCAATTGAAAATGAATTAAACAAACGCCAGCGGGAACACGAATTAGTATTTGTGTTCTGAGAAATACCTGTGCTTCAGTTGTTTCAATTGCTTTGTAACTTATTCCTAAAAATTACCCCGACTAGATATTGTTGATCTTTGTGTTTCTAGTTGAGAAGGGCATTTCGTAATAGTTATTAGCAGTTGCTAATTTTGTATTGTAAGAATGTATGTCTCAGCTGATTTTTTAACATACTATTCATTTTATTTATGCTCTCATGATAGCCCAAATTGTCGTCGATGGTTGAATAATGGAGCGCTCTAACTCTACGAGACATACAGACGCTCTTTCAAATCATGCAGAAACACCACACCACAAAGTTTTTTAAGGGAACGCTGATTTTTTCAGGACACTTTTCTAATAGTAACACAACAGTGTAAAATAATAGTCAAGTGTAGTTCCGCCCGTTTAGTTTCACTTTCCTAATATAGAAGATATCGTATTTAGTAATCACAGGAGTGTCATTCCAATTATAATTCATTGTATTTCTTTCACATTGTGCACATTTGTTAATGATTGAGCTCCAGTCTTATTCCCTCTGGTATTTCATTCCTGAGGTAAATTTTTAGAAGAAACGGACAACTTTTCCAAAACGTTTTGGCGTTGTTGTATGACGCATCTTATAAACTTCACTCTTGAGCGTTCGTGATGGAAGCGCGCGTGAACGGTTCCAAAAGTTTAAGGGCATGGCAAGTATGGCGTACTTTACGAATTACGCTTTATATTTTGCCAAGTATCTGATTAAAGTAAAAGACAGACGCCAAGCCAAGCCACTAAAGCATCCTCCTTTAGTTGTAACGGTTCACTTTCTCATTCAAGACGAAGTTCTTTACGGAACAGAATTTGAATATTATGTCAAGGGCTGTCTGGTTTACAAGTGAATTTATGAAAGATCACATATTGAACTGCGGCGGAAAGATATAGGACATGATTGATCATCGCAGTTATACACACAACGTAAGCAATTGTGAAATTAAAGCCTGGAAAAAAAAAAGTGCAGGCTTGAATGGGATTCGAACTCACGACCTCTTGCGATACCGGTGCAGTGCTCTATCAACTCACGAGGGGGTTACTTTGGGAATTTCTTGGTGGGGATGTGCCGCTGGGACCCCGGAACCCTTAGCCTATACCAGAGCTAGTTCAGCTGAATTTTGCTAACCTATACTAGTGTTAACTCCCCAAATCCCCCCATCTATCGACACTGCTGAGGCTGATTTGCGTAAATTTAAACTTGCCGATTTGATTTTTTTATATTTTTGAGTGGCAATCCCTGGTTTCCTTACTCTAGATAAAATCTGCAACCAACTAGTCAGTTTTGTGAAAAATGATACCCTATTCTAGACCCAAACGCTCAGATTTATATACCCTATCCTAGAGTAAACTGCTTGAAAACCATACCCTTCACAGTGGCACATACCAATATAGCCCATATATGGCAGTGCCCCCCGGGTATCAACTGAGCTATTAAGCGACGAGGAGCTGTTGATTTTGTGAGATCGTAATATACCCGTAGATGATGAAGAATGCAAGTGAATATATGAAAGATCATATATTAGAACTGCGGAGAAAGATATGAAGACGTGATTGATCATCGAAGTTATACACACAACTTAAGCAGTCTTTACACAACAGAATTTGAATAATGTGTCAAGGGCTGTCTGGTTTTGAAGTAATATATCAAACACGAAAGACAGTGTTTGACCGCAAATCCAAACACCGAGAAGAGAGTTGAAAATACGACGATTAGCGGAGTATTTTTGACGAACTTCGAGGTCTTTGGAAATGTGGTTGAACACTGTCTTGAGTGTTTGATATATCTTCTCAATCGAAACTAAA